ACGATGCCTGTGTCCTTCCCTGGGTCTTCCCGTGTCATGTTTCTTTCGACGGAGGGATACATCTCCTTGGCGGGGCGCGACTTTCTCATGCCTAGGTCGTCGGTCATTCCTAGGCAGGGGCTTGTTTGCCTGTGACGACTCATTCCTTCTATCTTGATGGTGTTCCTGCCGGTTGACACTCGAGTGTGTCATGATCATAGGAGCGGTGATACGTATAATAATCTGGGGGTTCTGATTAAGCCTATACCTAGGCCCTGAACCGTACCACCGATCTCTTCCTCTACTGGGGGCCTGTTGTGAAGTTCCTACTTGCGGGTCGGTGGTAGTTTGATTGACATCTTCATATGCCAAAGTTGGGACTACGTTCAAAGTGGTTGTGGCAAATGCTTGCTCTAAATTTCCATTACCAGGCAGGTTTATCTACTAGTCCATCAAGTGGAAGGTCGGTTCCCTGGCTCGCTGTCTCTGTTGAGGTGGGAGGCTTCTGCTGGTTTGATTCTCGTGTTCAATTAGCTCCTTATTGATAATCTCTTGCCTCATCATTTCCAACAAGGTGTCATAAGTGGTGGGATCTTGGTTTTGCACATCCTTTCAAAATAGGGTGTTCATATTTAGACCTCACAGGACCTGTGCTGCTCATCTAAGTCATTTTTCTCTTTAGTCTCATACCTGGGTGGTTGATGAGAGGGTCCAACTTGAGTCCTAGCCTCCTCTTCCCTCCTTTGGCACCTATTTCTAGGCAGAGCAACACGAGGAATATTTTCATGCCTTTTCTCCGGCTGATGAGTCATTGGAGGTAGGGGCTGTGGTCTATTTGAGGTTCTCGTTGCCATTGTTGCTGTAGCCTATGCCTCAGTTCCATGGGGCTAATTCTGTCAAAGACGCTGTTAGTCCTCCTAAGTCGTTGCTCTAGCTCATATGATGGTGGAAAGTCGTACTGGTTATATCAGGCCTCGGTGGGTCGGCTTGCAGCATAATTGGAGGAAATATCAACTTTTACTTCCCTCTCCATGGGACTTATGCCTCGGCTGTATTCTGGTGATACAACCCTTTGGCTCTAGACTTCCTCATCTTGTTGGTAATGTCCTTGGGGTGCATAGATGGAATAGGGAAGCCTCTCTGGCTCTGCATTTGGGCCATGAGTTCTCTCATTGCCATATTTTGGCTAGCAATGTCCCTTATGTTTGCGACCATGGTGGCTATTTTTCTCAACAACTGAGTGGCAATACGCATGCCACCTCTTCTGTGGTGGTGGTGAGGTCGATGCCGAGTTGCAGGGACAGCTGTCGGTGGGGGTATTCCCACATTTTCTCTTACCCTCCTAGGGTACACATTCTTGTCTAAACTCATTCTCTTCTGTTTTGAGTTCAAATGTTGCTAAGTTATAGGGCTTCCACTTGTTTTTTTTCAAGAACAAAACCTTTTTCAAGGGGGATGCCCAAATATCCTTTTCGATAAGCTTTTCTACACGGTTGCTCGTGGTTATAGTATGATTTCCTACAAATGGCGCCAATCTGTTGACTCCAGAATATGTTGCCAACAGATACTGGACTCACCCACGCACACGTAAGTCTGATCCAACATGCTAAGACACGTGGACGGTCTAGAACTAGTAGTAAAAGGGGTGTGGGAGCGACTCAAAGGCGCAGGATGAGAGCGTTCGAAATCCGTCGAGATGTTTGCATAACGATTGTACAATAATTACCAATCGATCTTTGTAGAATGCGATTATGAATTCGTGTATGTTGCAAGAGAGTAAAATGTAAAAAATGTATTTGTTCTTGTGTTGAATCTTGCATTACCTTTGTGAGAGATGCATGTGGGAGTATTCATAGTATTACAACTTAGATTGTGGCACTTGGTTGGGAGTACACGTGGCCTCATCTCGTAAGTTTACACGTCAAATTATAGGCATCACATTTGACTTCCTAGCCTGCTACACATTTATTAATTGGCGACTCTATCACTACATTGACAAGACAAGATACTTGTACTCTATGATGCGTATCCCATAAATCAATCGGGAAGGATCCTTGTGTAAGACTGGATCTCTGGGAGGAGTGCTGCTTAGAGCCTCAAGACCTCGGAGTGATGGGCCTCAGAGTGAAGGGCCTCGGCTAGAGCACCACTTCGACGTATTCACTTGGGCCACGTCATGGACGTTGTAATAGTATGCTGGTCTACTCTTGTTGGCCTGGAGCCTCGAATAAGATGCCACGTGGTTTAGCAAAAGTGGGTCATGGCCACAGTGGGTTGTCCAAGTACAAGTGTGTCAATACGTAACAAAAAGATTACATGAACAATAACATTTGCATAATTTCAAGAATGTCGATATTTATAAAGATAAGATATTCAAGAAAAGAGTTGTGATGCAAATCACCAACCTCGGTAAAAGCTCCTCTTCCAATAATGGTTAAAAGCTCAGACTCATCTACACATATCTTGTTTCTCAATCACATAAACTCTGTCTCTTTTCGCTCTAAATCCTTGATTATATTGATCTGCTCCTCTTTGGGAACATCCGAAGATGTAATTTTTGTTCTAGAATCCATCGCCTTGAGTGAAAAGTGCAAAATTATAGGTGGTTGATTTTGGTTTGACAGTGGTAGTTGTTTTTGCTGGGATATGTTGCTGATGTGGTGAAAGATATAGCAACCATGGCGGTGGTCCCAAACGAGGATAATTGCAGCGGTGGTGATGGTCTCGTTTATCCCAAACGTGGATAATTGCAACGATGATGATAGACTCAAACAAGGATAATTTCGGCGAGAAAGATTTGTTAAGGTTTGGGAAAGGTGTCATGGCCATGGTCGTGGCAGTGGGTGGTGATAGCTTTAATAATTGGTTTTAGGGTTGGGGAGGGGTTGAAGTAGGAGAATGAATATTTTTATTTTCTTTTATTTTTAGGGAAAATTGTAGTTGTGGTCTCTAACCTTTTTAATTTTTGCAGACTTTATTCTAATATTTAGTTTGTGTCAGCGAAGGTTCTTAACCTTTTAAAAATATGTGGCTACGGTCCAAATGGATGAAAACCGTTCAATTGATCGTAGTTGATCAAGAAAGCCAAAATTTGATCAATTTTGACCAAATTAAATAGGACAAAATGGTATTTTACAATTTTTTAATTTAAATAAGTTATTTAATTAAAAAACAAAAAAATAAATATATAACTAAGCCCCTATTTGAATCATATTACATTAAATTCTATTACCTTTCATTTTTCTCTCTCCTATTTTCAACCACACAATCTTCCATAAAATAATATTACACGTAAATCGAAAAATTTTCATTCTTTTTCAACCACTCATTTTTCAAAAAAATACTATTTCCCACATTAATTTTTCTACGTAATGGGAATCAAACAGGGGCTAAATAATATATAAACCCCACCCACCCCTCTCTCCAATCAAAACCTTTCTCCTTCCTTCTTTTCCAACAGAGCGCTACTGCAACGCCACTGCTACCGTAATAGAATTTCCCTATCGCAAAAACTAGAACACAGATGACAGAATAGAAAGAAATCAACAAATCCCACAAAGATATCTATTCAGTTGCCTTTAATTGAAAGCAAAATTCCAATAATGCCACAGAAATATCAAAGCCAGCAATGTTGACACCATCGCTAGTCGACCAGCCACAACAACCCTTCTCACAAATTATATAGTAAACCGCGTGCCGCTGCCACCATCAAACCAAAACCAATCGCCTCCAGCAGCGTCAAACCTACACCCAAAACCAAAAATCCTACCCTACTTTTTTCTATAAACTGATTTGGGGGTGAAAAAATGTCAGATGGGCGAAAGATTTGTATTTCAAAGAGGACACCATTGCCACCTTCCAAGCCTGAAAATGGAACTTTTTGCTGGCCAAAAGCGCGAGAAGTCACTCGCTACTTGTCTGTCATTCTCCGACTCGAGATACTGTAATCGAAATGGTGTAGGCAATAATACAGTGTTGTCCTCAAATGCAGAGAAGATGTTGATAGCGTCGTCGGGAGGCTTCGCTGGCAGTAGTGTAGGCAATGATCAACGTGTTGTGGCCGATTTCATATGGGTGGAATGGGGTGGGAGAGATGGATAAGCCATTTTTATTTATTTTCTTGTTTTTTAATTTTTTAATTTTTTTAATATGCTAATTATAAAGTTACTATATTGCCCCTTTTAATTTGGTTAAAATTGATCAAATTTTGACTTCTTGGTCTACTAATAGTCAGTTGGACGATTTTCGTCCATTTGAACCCTAGCCGTATATTCTTGAAAGGTTATGGACCTTCGTTGGTACAAATTGAAAGTTAGGACAAAGTATGCAAAAATTAAAAAGGTTAGGAATCGCTGCTGCAATTTTTCGTTCTTTTTATTTAGTTTTAGTTATTTTAACTATTTTATGGTATTAAATAATAAAGTTATCATTATACCCCTTTTAATTTAGTCAACTAATAGTCAAATTGATTATTTTTATCTAGTTTGACTCTAGGTATGCATATTTATAAAAGGTCAGAGACCTTCAAAAGCACAAACTTTAAGAGTATGGTCAAGTTTATAAAAGTTGAAAAGATTAAGAACCGTTGCTGCAATTTTCCCATTCTGTTGAAAAATAGATTTTATAATAATAATTTTTTTGAGAACTGGTGATTAAAAAATAAGAAAATGTTTTAGGTTTATGTGTAAATTATTTTATCGAAAGAACGTGCAATTGAATTTTTTTTTTTTTGAAATAATGCAACTCAATTACGAACTTATGTTTTTCATTATATTTTTGACATTTTTTTTTCATATTTATAACTTAAATAAAAGTTAAATTTCATGGTCCAGACATCAATTTGACCTAGTTAAGATGTTATAATTTTAATTTTTTAGATTTGATTCCAAGTATAATCGTCTATTTATTTTTCAAATTGGCAAGGTGAAGTTTTCGAGATATAAATATCAAACATGAGCAATGGGTACACATAAGTCGAAAATAGACGAAGTACATGTAAATATTAAAAATAAAATAATCATATCATATGCTTAAAAAAGGAAGAAGAATCATAAAATCTCCCAAACAAGGGGCTGAGCTCTGAAATTCCAAAACAAATATAAATGGGGGAACCCTACTGGAGATACGGCGGAGGCGGAGTCGGTTCTGCTGCTCATCCTCCTCCTCTTCTGCCATCATCTGCTGACAGAGGTTTCTTATTCATTTTTTATCACCTCGATTCTAATTAACATTCATAAACGCGCACGCTTTTGTATGTATCTGCATTTAACGCTTGATCAGTAACATTGAAATTCATGTAAATTATCAATTTTTACAATTTTATTGAACGTTGCTGATAATTGACAGTCTAAAGGTGAAATTTTCACTTTGTTTCGGTAATTTCATAGAAAACTATAAGAAAGTAATGATGGACTTTTATGGGCTTATAAATGGTTGGCTCTTGCATTACTTATTTGAAAATTCGTGTTTGAAAACTTTGAATAGTAAAGATTTTTGCTTGATCAGTCGTCCGTGTAGGGAAAAAAAAAAAAATGAAAAAAAAGAAAAGAAGGAAATTGATATCGTCAAGAACCGAAAAAGGTGATTCTGTTCCTTAGGAACAGTGTTTTTATTTGTTAATATATTGTGGTACTGAATAACATATAAGATTTTTTGCTGAATTACCGCATGATAGAAAAGAGACAATGACCTTTTTTTGGATGATTGGTGCAGAGTCTGCTTTGTATATGGGATTTTGGCGTTTAATCTGAGCTTTTTGATTTTTTTTTTTCAATTAATATTTATGATCCACAAGAATAAATTATAAATAAGTTGAATTTTTTTTTTTTAATTTTTTTAAAGAGAAGCTAATACAGTGTACTGGACTTGCTTGTTCTCTAATCAAATAGTTATTGCAGGAGATACTTATTGGTTTGCCTTTTAAGGTTTTTGGATAATTGATCTCTATGAAACTCATTGATGTCCACGGTTCTTGTAATGACTTTGCAAGCAGAATTCTGTTTTGGGTATTGTTTCATGCATTCAAGATTAAATTTGTTGTACACAGTTTTACTGCTTGAAGTCCTGTACTCTATAAAGCAGCACATTATTTTATAATTAATGATTCACCTACAGGGGGCTTGGTTACTCGGCGTATAATCAAGAAAAAACAACAAAGCATTATTTATAATAAATCAAAGAACACTCTTAACTCTTATTTCCTTCAGATATTACTGGCATGCTAGATAAAGTACTAGAGAGATCTGCCTGGGAAGCGCATGCAATACCAGTTACTAAAGGAGAGTTTTGTGCATGTGCTTAGGCTGTACTGAGGAGAAACTTGGTTGAGGATGTTTGGTCCAAGACGCATTATGTGAAGGAGAACAATGGAACTTGTGTAGTATAAGATGATGAGCACCGATTGATTATTTTTACCAAAAAGATTGATTTTCCAGTTACAGTTTTTGGTTGTGTATTTCATGACCAGATATGTTTACAAAAAGTTCTCTGGTTTTATTTTTCATTTCTAGGAATAAACAAGTTTTGAAGAACTTTCCAGGTTATGGGCCTAATGTATTACATGGTAGCTTTGCGTACTGCAGCTGTAGGCTATATCTGCAAAGACTTTATACTTGTACAACTGAAAGTCTGAAACTAAAATATCGTATTTGATGGTATTAGCTTTTATATGTTAGATAAGGTAGCTGGATCTCTTGCAAAGATTATCTTCGCTTCATATTTTTGTTGATGTGTTATTCATTTAAACTGATGGTTAAATTAGTTGCATATACAGGAAGCATCCATCCACCAAGCTTTCCCGGCTACTTATCATCTGAAGCAGCTATATTACCAACTCGTAAACCATATAGCTCCAATGGTTTGCAGGGTAGTTTTTCAGATTTTACACAGAAAGATGTAAGTATTATCTCAGATTTGGTCTTCTGCCATGATATTTAATGCATGCAATGAACAGTTTGTACCTTGGCTTTATTTTTAGATATTACCATCGCGTCCTGGGGTTTATGGCATAGATGATACTGCTGGCGTTCGTCATGAATCTGGTCTTAATGGATCAATGAGTAGAGCAAGCATTAAACCTTACCCATCTTTGGAAGATCCAAATTTACTAGGTCATCCACGAGTTGCTGCTCCACGTATTAGTCCTGGCATCCCTGATGCGACTAATGAAAGGCCAAATTCTGTGAGGAGGGTTGAGAGCAATCAAGTCCCAGCAGGAGAGTCCAACATTCTGTTTGTTGATGGGCTTCCGAATGACTGTACAAGAAGAGAAATAGGCCGTATCCTTGTGTTCTTATATCATTTGTCAGGGTTCGTTTATGTAAGTGATAACGATTGGGTGTTCTATTGGTTTCTTACAACGTATTTGGGGCTTTCCAGCATAAATCGAGGAATATTTTATCTCACAGCATGTGACTCAAGTTTAGTCTTGCTAAGATGTCAGTCTTGGCACAATATTGCTCCTATGAAAGCCCACCTCCGAGTGTAAGGAGTGATGTTTTATAATTATTTGAGCTAACATGATTACTTTTCTTCTTCAAAGATCGTGACTATGTTTTGATACTTAACCTTACTCCTTGACTAGTAAAACAGATCTTTTTCGCCCATTCATCGGGTTTAGAGAACTGAGAGTTGTTCATAAGGAGCCTAGACGAGTAAGTTAGCCTCTTATCACTGGCTTGATTATGCATGGTTTACAATTTGCAATATGGAAATTGAAATATTTGATTATGTTTATTCTTATAGTTTGTACAGGCAGTCATCTTCTATTGATTTGGCCTTTAATGATTATACATGTTTGTGGAATATGTGTTCTATTTGCAATCATAGCACATTTTTGTTCATGTATTTCACTGCATGATCAGTGAGATGGTATGTTGCAGTTGGGAGTTACATTTTCACAGATTTAATGACTGTTGGATTTGGAAATGATTATACATCTCTGGTGAATGGTGAGAAGAAGTTATACTGAAAGAGAAATAAAATTAAAATATTATTTTCTATATGCTATTTTTATGTTATTTTATCAAAAGGAACAGAATCTTGTAGACAACTTCAGCCTAAGCTGCGTCCTCCTTGCTCCTTTTTCATAATTTCTCAAATGCTTGATCTCTTATCCTAATGCAATGCAACTTTTATTGCCAGTCTTCCTAATTCCTTCATTTTGTTTTCTGTTATTAAATTTATCTCTCACCAAACTGACATTTTGCAGACTGGAGACAAAGCTATGGTCTTGTGCTTTGTTGAGTTTTCTGATGCTAAATGTGCTCTTACTGCCAAGGAAGCACTTCAAGGTTCAAGAAATTTTCCGGCTTTCTGTTTTTCTAATATTCTTGGTGGGATTCTTGTTCACTTGATTACCCTCCTAGAATTCTACTGGAAAGCACAAAATTTTGCTAACTCTTTGTTATTCAGTTTAAGCTTTTTGATCTCATGTCCACCCCTCCCCCTCTCCCCCCCCC